ACTTCCAGCAACGTTTTTACGAGCTCATGTGTTTTTAATGTAAACTCTAAATCTAAAAAAGCAACTAGTAACTTCAGCTGTCAGATAAATGGTATAAGGCAGCATGACAAAGAAATACTCAAGTAAAGTATAGCACATTTAGTAAATTACTTGAGTAAATATACTTTCCACCACTGTTGCAGATACACTACACAAAACTAAATATTGGTTTAAAGATATGTTCAACTTCATAATAAAATAAATACATGCAAATCCAAATAATTGAAGATTTAACCATTTTATTAAGCATGAACAAATGAAGCATATGATCATTTAAAAGAGGGTCGTTAGTTACATAACCAACGTTTCCTCACCATGCTGTCAAGTAAAAACAATGAAGACACAAAAAATACACTTTGAGCACTGCCAAATAGTACTTTTCTATAATCTTGGTCCATCCAGGATAATCTTGGCACCTTGAATATAATCAGTCATCAATTATTCAATTCATATTATAATAATAAAATTACCTCTAAAACCATTTTGGCATGTTGGCTCTAACAATCCTCATGCTTCCCAGCAGCTGCTGTGCCACCAGAGAGAGGGAGAAACCCTTCCTGCTGCCATCAAACTCATTGCACTTATATCATTCCCTTCACTTATCAAATGCACAATATAGCAAGTAAACTTCATGATTCATGTAAAGTGATTGTTGAATTACAAAACGTATGTAAAAGTTGGCACAAGTATAAGATGGCGTGAAATTTACATTGTGTTTTTAATCACATTTCTAAAGGGCATCATGTCTCCCATTCACCTCCAAAATCTCCTCCTGCATAAAGTCTCCTCCACCTTGTGCATTTCCTCTCTGCTTCACTTTCCCCTGAACTCTACATTAAGGATGTTAGAGATCAGAGAAAAGTTGGAATGATTAGACAGAGCAACTCTCCTCCACCTCTTTCTCTCTCCATCTTTAATATGTTGGCTCCCATCCCACGGTGTCCTGGCAGCACCCTGCTGTCCAGATGGCCCTCTTGATCATATCAGGGCATTGCTATCATCATCCATGCAGTTCACACTGGCCACCAGCGGGTGATGCCGGACTGTTTTGTTGCTCCACTTGTGGGCGTCCTGCAGCCCGGGCTCGAGGAAGTAAAGGCACGCTCCGAAGCCCGCCAGCACCAGGACAGACACCAGCAGGTACAGGGGCACGAACCAGTCCAAGAAGAGCCACGACATCACTGCTGTCAGAGGGCGGAGGAGGGAGGGGACGAGGAGACATGACGGAGAAAGGGAAGGAAAGGAGGAGTTTTGGGGTTAAAAAAAAGTAATCCTTCAGGGTGAAATATCACCCAGGACAGACTGCAGCATTATGTTCAGTCATTTACTAGAAAGCCTACCTAATCACAAGAATCACTACTTCCAACACACTGAGATACAAATAAATATAATGTTCAAAACACACACAGGTGCTGCATTCTAAAAATAGTGCTCAGTAGTAAATAAAGCCACCGTGCTTACCTGCAGACGCTGCTGAATCAGCTGGTCTCTGTCTTTAGATGGTATGGGATGAGCAGCAGCCGCGAGTCAAATCAGTCATAAGATAATATCCGGCGCCGCAGCTCTGACTGTTGCATGTGACACGAGTAAAATCACAGGTGATGCTCTGTGAGAGGCACAAGAGACAGGAGCTGCATGCGGCTTCATCCTCCGAGCTCCTGCCGCTGACGTTCAAGAGGAGGGGTGGGGGTTGCTATGACAACACCCCTGCTGATGGTGGAGAGGATGGAGGGAGTGGGAGGGAAACTTATATAACTATAATCTTTTTTTTGGGGGGGGGGGCCTTTAGATGTCTGTGAATGCTCGCTGCGTAAAATCGATTCCACTCCATTTAACAGCAAGGCCATCACGCAGTTTATGTGACATTGAGAAAGAGAGGGGCGATTTTTGTGTGAGCTGCACCTCTAATATCTGCTCTGACTGACGGCGGCTGCAGGGTTTTATGTAGTCACTCCACTGAGGGAAGTGCTGGGAATAAGATTTAGTTTTTTGTCCTGCTGGCTGCAACACAGCAGCTGAACACAGACAGGATTGGCCTACATAATGAGAAGTTGTCAGAGGGTAACATCTCCTTTAATGACTGCCATTTTTAGCTCACACAAGCGTGGTCAAACTATTCTTTGTCCTAAAGATGATATGAATGAGAGCTAGTTCTTGGTTTGAGTGTGTGTGTGTGTGTGTGTGTGTGTGTGTGTGTGTGTGTGTGTGTGTGTGTGTGTGTGTGTGTGTGTGTGTGTGTGTGTGTGTGTGTACACACTATGCCGGCAGATGCTGAGAGAACACTTTAGTCCGCAGGAAGTCAGAAACAAGTGGAGCGACAACTTCAGGATCATTGAGATGGACGTGATGGTCGCCAGCTACCGTCACCACTGTGTGCTGCAAGACAGAAGAAAATTAATCTTTGAATAAGAAGCATGCACAAGTAGAAATGCAAGTTTTTCTGTTTTTGTTATTATACCTTTTTCTAAAAATTAACTGAGGAAGATCTTTTTGCTCGTGTTTGACCTTCATTACTTTGTTGGTGAATTTGTGATACCATTTTTTGTGTACATATTGTACATTTTGCATAGTATGAAACATGTGACAATATTTGAAATAACATTTTAATTTAAGCTAATATCAAGGTCTCTAACTGACATTGAGAATTCAAGCTATCTCCATTTTTTGTTTTGTCAATATAGTAAATATATTTCAATGCAAAACATTAAAAACAATAAAGGAATCTCATCTGGTGAGTTTTTTTACACTTCTATAAATATTTCTGTTTATTCTGAGACATTGGGCTTGTACTATGTTGCTACTTTTAGATCTGTGCTGCTGCCTGCCCCAATAGATTTAACAGATCAACACAGACACAGACATTGTCTAAAGCACTGTCTTGTTTTAGGGTGTCACAGTCACACACATCAATGTTATGAATGCAGCTTACTGATTTCGCTTCAAATGGATGAGTACTACAGTTTTTAGCCTTAACACTCCAGGTACTACAATGGTTCTAAATACGATGTTTTCCTGCATGTATTTGGAGATTATTTCTCCAAGACTCAAACTCACATTTCTGTCATGATATCCTTGGAGAAGTTTAGAGGCAAATCTCCTTGGGTATAATTCTGGACCAGTAGTTGCACCAAAGCCTTTGTCTCCTCTGGAAAAACGAAGATTTTAACAGGTTAAATTCATTTTTTATGAATATACAATCATTTACTAAGACCCATATCAGTGTAGTGATCAATATCTTACAGAACAACTAGAACAAAGGCTTGAATCCTCGACTGTATCTCCAGACTCTGCTCCAAGCTGATGCGCACTATATTTTTCTGGAAACATAAAATAAAGCACAGCTACTGTACAAGCTGAATGCTAAACCTCTGTTGTAGAAAACACAAGTTTACAGATAGTAGGAGGGGAATGTGGGGGGAAGGATTGGGAGGTGTAAAGTGACTCACAAAATTAATTCGCAGGTCTCTTGAGAACACAAACCCTGGAGAAGAGAAACACATTCAGCAGATGTTAGAAACCAAAATGAGATTATTCCTCTGTTAGAGGAGAGGGAAAGATAAACACATACCTCCTTCACCCTGAACGAGACCTCGCTCTAAGAGGGTGTGCACCGACCGTTCAGACAGAGTGGGGTTTGCAGCCTTCAACCTGAAGTAAATAAAACACTTAAGCCAACAGCTGACTTTAGGAGAATACTAAAACTCTAACAGACAGATTTGATTATTGTTTGGTTTTATCTTTCTGTTTTAGAAATACACACCTACTACATTTTTGGATAGATAGAAATTGATGCTGCAGAACGCGATACATCGGCTCGTTTTACTCCAAACCAGGTTCTTCCTTGGTCAAAACCTAGCGCCTACTTTACCCACAATGCAACATAGGCATTCTGGTCTGAGATTCAGATTGATTCTATCCAAATATATTTTAAGTAGCAGCTTTTATTGATGAGGATTGGGTAACATGTGGTCACGAAGTACACTTCTTCTCAGCTCCATACCCTCAGATTTGACTTTTTCTCTTTACCTGAGGTACTTAAAGGTTGACATTTTGGAGTCTCACCATGCTTTATACAACGTATTATAACATATGCATTATAACTTCCCTACATCCAACTCTAATGTGTGTGAGTTTCCCTTTAAAACACACTTCAGATCAGTGCAAAACATCCCATACGAATGGGTGATTATTAAATAAAAATTAGTCATGAACTGGAGTGATGTAGTACCTCTCAGCTGCCTTCTCATACGTGTAAACTCTTTTCTTCTCTTCCGCCTTTTTCTCATACTGAAGCATCTCATCCATCCCCTGTCGCATCACTTTGGGTATTTCTTTCTGCGGGAAAAAGACACAAAACTACTGACTGCAGTGTAATATGAAAATAAATGGGGTATAATGTAATACCACTGCTGCAATCACAGACATTTTTATATTTTAATTGACCTCAAAGGCTAGTCAACAACTCTATAGGTAGAACAAAAACTTGATTACTTGATCTGTAGGTAAGAATCCATACGCGTCCAGCAGTATCAAGGCATCTACCATCTCAGGATACAGTGCACTGAACTGTGGAAAATACAATATTGACCAAGCAAGAAAACACTGTACAATAGTATGAAAACAGTGATAATGTATGCTCTTAATTACCAATGCAGCGATGTTGCCACCTGTAAGACAGGGAACAAATAATAATTCTCAAAGTTAAAGACAAGTACATTACTTATTGATGAAAGAAAAAAACACTCATTTGGGAAGCTATAAATATTCAATGTTTTTTTTTTGTTTTTTAAAGTGTCTTAAATGTATAATAAATCCCCCAAATAGTCGACAATACATATATTTTCTCCTGACTTATGGATGAAATCACTTGTTCCAGCACTGTTTGGTTATCAACTCAAGAAACAACACTATAATTATACCCAAATAGTAGATTTAATCAATTGGACCAGATTTTGAACAACCTTCAAAAAAACGTTTCATTATAGAAGAGGAGACATTGTTGCCCTTGCATTTGTTGTTTTATGGAAGCAGGAGATGTGAAAATGCGCAGTGGCATGTTTGTTTTTGCTGCACTTACCCATACTGTGGCCGATGATGGTGAATGTTGTCCACTGGAGGCCTGTGGTAGTTATTTAATGAAAGCACATCTGATTAAATCCAGTGTAACTTACGGCTGTACTTTTGTTGCAGAGATGCACCAGAGTCCTGCAGAGATCAAACATCTTGATCTTAGGTGGGGTAGGTGAGTTTGAGAAACCGGCTCGGGATACACTTTTTGTTATATTCCATGGAATGCTCTTAACATCCCAATAGCAATGACTATCTTAGGTGCTTTGACAAAAAATCCATAAAAGAATGTCATCTGTGGAAGCCGTAGTACTGTAAAAAGCATGACCAATCATTTGAGCCGGCCCGGCTAAAATAACTGGATGGCCTACCTGCCTGTCAGCCTTCCATCTGTGCACAAACCTATCTCGTGCCTTCATTGGTCATGTGCGCGTTCGTGTGTGTTGGAGGAGGGGCTCTGTAAGGAAGTGGCAGATTTTTTCCGGCTGTGTATTTTCAAATTCTTGCGCACTCGAGCTGGTTGAGAAACCAGCTCGAGTGCGCAAGAATTTGAAAATACACAGCCGGAAAAAATCTGCCACTTCCTTACAGAGCCCCTCCTCCAACACACACGAACGCGCACATGANGATAGCAACTAAGCTTCAGCTTGCGCAGGCAAGAAACTCATGTAGTCTTTCGAATCGACTATAAATTGATATGGTGAAGTGTCAGTTCAACCGTATTTGGTGGAAAAACATCTAATTTAGTGGCTTGGTTGGAAAACTCAGGGAGGGGAGCGTGTTGAGAGCCCGCCGCACCATTTGCAAAATAAATAGCTTTTGTTTTTGCTAATGTAGGTTAGCTAGTGGAGCTTAGCTAGGTGCAGCCAGCTCCAGCAACAACACCGCGGGACCATCCGGGCGACGTTTGGGTCTACGTCAACCCTAAAAGCGGAGGTGCTTAGCGCTAAATACCGTGCTAAACACCAATCATACAACAGCAATGATTGAAATAGTGTAGCCAATTTCTGCAATGAATGTTCCCCGTGTGGTTTATCAACATCGGAACCTAATTGGGAAGCCAGTGCAATGAGCCAGAATTGGGCGGTGAAGTGGTGACGCTTTTTGTGGCCAGTGAGTAGACGTGCAGCTGCGTTCTGCACTAGCTGCAGGTGTCTAATTGACGCCTGGTCCATACCCATGTATAGAGCGTTGCAATAATCCAGCCTTGTGGTTACAAATGCGTTAATAACCCTTTCTAGGTCTTTAAAAGATAAAAACGACTTGGTCTTGGCCAATAGTCGTATTTTAAAAAAGCAGGTTTTGACTACGGTGCTGACCTGCTTATCAAATGTAAAAGCGCTATTGAAGGTCTCTTCAAGGTTCATGACAGAGGGGAGAATGTTTTTATTGAGGGAGCCCAGAATATCAACCGGACAGGCTGGAGGTTGGGGTCCAAAAAAGATGACCTCGGTCTTGCTCTCGTTGAGGTTGAGGACATTTTGGCTCAGCCAGGATTTGACCTCTGTCAAGCAGTCCATCAATATCTGTAATGAGTTGACATTTGAATTGCGTGGCAGATATATCTGTACATCGTCGGCGTAGCAGTGTAATGGGATGTTGTGTTTTGTGAGAATTTAACCTAGGGGCAGTATGTACAGTAGAAAAAGGATGGGGCCCAGAATCGAGCCTTGGGGAACCCCACAGGTAAGCGGGGCTTTGGCAGAGGAGAAGGCACCTAGCTGCACAGAGAAGCTACGGTCTGTCAGGTAGGACCTGAACAATGCAAGGGCAGAGCCTGTGATGCCAGCGGACTGTTCGAGCCGTGACAACAGGATGCTATGGTCCACAGTGTCGAAGGCAGCTGTCAGGTCTAACAGCACCAGGACAGCTGGGCTACCTGAGTCGGCGGCTAGGAGAAGATCATTAAAAACTCTTAAAAGGGCTGTTTCAGTGCTGTGCATGGGTTTAAAGCCAGACTGAAACTTTTCATGGATGCCATGCATGGTTAAAAAAGACTGCAGTTGGGCGTAGACTATTCGCTCCAGGGCTTTAGATAAAAAAGGTAGCTGGGAGATGGGCCTAAAATTTGCGAGAATGGAAGGGTCGAGATTTTTCTTTTTAAGTAGTGTCTTGAACACGGCATGTTTGAAGGCAGCTTGGATACATCCTGAGGTAAGAGAGGTATTTATAAGTAATAAAATACTTGCTCCAACTGATTCGAAAACCTCTCTGAGAAAGCGAGAGGGAATGCTGTCTGAGGTGCAGTTTGTCGGCCGCCGGTGCATGACTACATCCGAGAGAGAAGAGAGGGATACAGGCTCAAAGTGGTCGAGGACAGCAGGGCACAGAAAAGGAGCTGGATCTGGGGTAGCACTAGTGTGGGCTAGCCTAAGAGCAGATACTTTTTCAATAAAAAAATGTAAGAAACTTATCACAGAGAGTAGTCGATGGCACAATTGGAGAAACATCACAGGGATTAATGATCGAGTTGAGGACATTAAAAAGAACCTGAGGTTTATGGCTGTTTTTGGAGATTAACAGAGAAATGGGGTGGTTGCGTTCAACAGTTTTGTAAGTTTCCAAAACAGACAATCTGACACATTCGCCCACTCAACGCATTGACAGGCCAGGTACACTTACCTGTTGGGCAGGCCATGGTTTTTAACTTCTCTCTCATGAACTCAAACTTGTATTATTTACATGCCTTACAATGTTTTTTGAACAGAGAATTGGGGAGGCAGTTTAATACAACCTTGTCACGAAGAAGTCACATTTACAGTATATAACACTATTTTCTTTTGGCAAAGCACTTTGAAAGGTAATTCAATGTCCTCTGGGTGTACAACAAACAAATTCACATGGAGTGAAAGGAAAGATGTATAACGGGCTTACAAAGTGTAGGACAATGGAAGCAGGATTTTGATTGTCTATTGTTAGATTTATGAACAAAATGACAATAAACGTACATTTTATCAAATGTGAATGTTAAAGGTGGAGAGGAAGAGCCCCTTTTATCTCCATTGTATTTATTTGGGTTACACACTATTACTGTGGCCTCCATGTCCATTGGTTCTTTGTGTATTTGTATGTTTGTGTTTGTGTGTGTGTTGTTCCTGTTCCACCCTTCACCTGAACCTTGCTACCAACACAGAGAAAAACTCCCAAGGAGTTTTTCTCCAACTCGTCTCATCTATTGTCTAACGTGTAAAGGAAACATTACATTGTATTCTTCTTTTTATTGTAATTATCTTAACCACATGCCATCTCCACTTTCACTTATGTTGTTTTGGGAATCACTGGCAATAGAACTATTTTTATGTTTGGGTATGAATGTAGATTTTTTTGCTCTATCTATTTGCTGTTTTTGTTATAACTTACTTTTACCCATTTTGTTCCAAGCATACAAAAACCCATACATATACAGAAAGACAAAATATAAAGCGTAAACAATACTGTATATCAGTGCTTCTCAAACTCCGAACCAAGGTCTGGATCTGGACCGAACTGCAAATCAATCTGGACCGAACCCTGTGTCCCAAAAATTATACAAAATAAAAAAATAAAAACTTTCTGAATCTGATGTGTATTTTCTTGTGTCTGACACGTTGTGTGAATGAACGTGCATATATATTTACTTGTGTGCGCAAGCGTGACACGCATTGCAGACCGCAAGTTAACCTTGACTTTCTAATGCTTCTAATGCCTTTTTTTCCAACTTTACTGGCATTGATCCGGACCAGTGACCTTGTATACAATTCACAAGTGGACCTTTAATAAAAAAGTTTGAGTACCCCTGCTGTATATCAGATAACAAGATTACACAGATGTTTTATTGTGAAAAATAAATACAATTTAGAAACTTTATGGGTATTATGTAATACGATGGTGTCCAAATAATATCTGATGAACTTTGTAAAGAGAATAATGACATCCCTTGCAGTTTAATTTGTGCAGAACCAGTTCTCTCCAAACTGGATTCCTTCTCTGAATGTGTCTCCGTGCGTATTCTTTTAATCTCTTTTGTCGAACAATGCATTCATTCCAGCCATGGAGGGACACATTTTCTCCCTGCTTTTATAATAATGAGATCCTAAAATGTACTTTAGTGTCTCCACCACAAGATTTTCATGCCATAAAAGAGCCTTTTTGTGTGGATGCCTTTTATGCCGTTTTCATTGTGGCAGCCCTGCATTTATTTGAACTGTGTTTTGCATAACCACCAAACCCTCAAGTCACTACATCTGTGAAACTCAAGCAGCAAAAGGAAAAGAGAGGAGAGACCGAAATTAGAAAATGGGAGGGAGAGCAAAAAAAAAGAAGAATCATTTTGAGGAAAAATAAATCGCAGAAGGGATTAGAGAGCAAATTTAAACTGTAACCTTGGTCTCAACTTGGTGTGAGAAGGCAAAACAGTTAATTGAATGGTCCTTATTATACTTTTGATGTTTTTCCTTTGCTGTAGTGTGTTATAGAGTTTTTTTGCATGTATATTATCTGCAAAGGCTAAAATCCAAAGGTTCACTCCCACCCTGCCTGAAACACATCGTTTGGACTACTTTGTTTACTTCCATAACATAGTGACATCACTACGTAACACTTGTGCATCTATTGGCTAGTGCTCTAAAACATTGTACCTGATAGGCTAAGAGGCGGGATATCTCTAAGTGGGTGACCATCAAAACAGAGCTGGCCAGCTAACCAATCAGAGCAGACTGGGCTCTGGTTTCAGACAAAGGGTGAAAAGAGGTGCTGCAGCACAAGCAATATGAGAAAAATAAAGCACTTTTCGAACATTAAAGCATGTAAACATGTCACAGTAGAAGCACAAAATACAATTATGAAACTATGAATGAAAATATTATCAAAATATAGGACTCCCTTTAAGTTTGTTATGTGTTTACCAAATTGTTGAGAGGAACAATGTATTTGCCCCCCCTGATACAGCAGATGTTGCATATAGTAAGTAATGTACAGCTGTCATATCTCTGCGTGCTCAGGCACACATGCCTGGCCATTTGTAATTGAGTTGCCTTTTTTAAATCTCCTAGCAAATCTTCACTGACTGTGCAC